AATAAGTGTTTGCTTTCTTTGGGTGGTCTATACAATGAACAAATAAGTGCCGTGTATTGATGTGACGTAGATAATTTACCTATTAAAGATTCACAATGGTTTAGTGATATATTATTTAGAATATGAAACTTGTGGGTACTTTTTATATACATAACAATGCCACCACCTCTTCGCTGTTCACGAAGCTTATAGTACATTTCATAGCCATGAATATTAAATAATTGAACAAGATTACTGCTTTTGGAAATTCCTACCTCTGTTAATATAATAACGTCGACATCAATTTTAGACGAATGAATTAATTGTAAAACCAGACAAAAATTTTTAACTATCGATCGCAAATTTATGTGGACAATATTTAGTTGTTGTATATTATGTGGTAGATATTTACTAAACTCGTTTATGTTAGTACAGTCAAACAATTCTTGTATTTCCTGTGAAGGAACTGTTGCGTTGTGTATAACTGCTATCGATATTTTTGAGTAGACAACTTATCAATATCACATGAGCTTCTTATGATAACGGGCTTGTCATTATCAAATTTACGAGCCAAAACTTTACCACCCTGGAACCAAATATATTTGTAAGTTTCCTTCAAGGTTTGTTTAGCTTGCCACAGAAGTGTTTTATTAGCTTTAGTTAGTGCACGCCGAAGTAACACTCTTCTCTTGGCTACTTCAGGATTGGGGGCATTTGGAGTTATATCTTCCAAAGCAATTGTTTCCGTTCGTGCAGCGCGGATCCACTGGTCGACCTGCTCCTCTTGTTGTAATACTACCTGGATCACACCTTCTTTGCCGTCCCTGCCTTTCAGTCTTTTCACCATGGACGCTTGACGTTTCTCTACGTTTAGTTTCGAGGCTAGTTTACTTGAAAGTTTTTCTAAGTTCTCGTCCTTATCTTGGGGAATTCCTGTTATTTCCAGTACATTATCCAACTGTTTTTGTTCCATATTTCTGATTTGTTGTTCCATAGCGTTAACTTTTAATTCCAAGTGGGTATTTTGATTTGTCAAGTACATGTTTTTCTTCTCCAAGTCTTTCACTTTCTCAGTTAGGATTTCCAGTGTAGCATTTATAGTATCCATTTTTATACACCATGAGCTTAACGATTCGTTCACAGAAGCCAGTTCCATCTTCACTGCTTTCTTTACCTCAAGTGAGATATCACGAAGTAATTTACTCATCGCTGTCGAACCGCTTTCACCCAGCTGAATCCCATCAGTATCATCGTCATCGTCCTCCGGAATTATGAAAGACTTACGATGAGGCGATTCTTTACGACAATCCTCACATGTCCACTCCAGGTTTTCAGCATTGCGCAGAGCTGATAGCTGCTTCGAAGATAAGCCTGTGCATAATTGATTGGCGTGTACTATTTTTCCACATTTGTTGCACTCAAGCCTAGGTGACTTTTTTGTTATGGACTTATCACAATTGTCGCATTTAGACATTCTTACTTATCAAATATTGAGGGTAAATATATCCGTACACAGTTAGACTGCGCTGTACGAGAGCTCGCGAGTGACTGAATAGTGAATATTCGCGTAGATATAAATGCGTAGTTGTAAAGAAGGTGCAATGAATTTCAGACGTTCATTTGTATTTCAAAATGTAAAAGATTCGTACTGATATTTTATTAACAGTAAAAATGTACGACAATAATGAAACTGCTTAACGCATAATATTTATGTGTGTATATATAAATATGGGTTTTGTGTCGTTTTTTAATTTCAGTTTTCCCAATAATGTTTAGTAGTGTGCCTCATGACATTAAGTCCGCGCTTTGTATTCTTTCGTAAGTCACGCTCACGTGTCCCCTTGCCAACGATGAACGAGAAGCGAGTAGAGCTAGAAGAGCTAGAAATTAGATAAGAGTTCGTGGTTGGTTTTATTGCTGGGTTATAAGCGAGTGCATTCAAATCCACACTTTAGAGTAAAATGAGCGCTGGTTGGTCTCTCAAATTGAGTTCGACCACCAATTTAACATTGCTGAGCGAGTTTTATCTTTGAAGGCTTTTGTTGCTGCGACAAACTAATGGAAATAGAATTCTTGCCGGCAGTGTAAACAGCCAGTGATCAATTATTAATAAGTACCACCTCTTTTACTGACACGGGATCTATATCTGTTATTCGTTACTTGAGCGAGAAAATAGTCGATAGCGTATCGCTTCCTCGTCGGCGAGACAAGTGCCTAACAGGGAATGTAATAAAGAATGAATAAATAAATATACAAATAAGTAAAATATTCTGTGATTATTACTACTACTGTAATCTAAATTCTATTGCTAACGTGTTTTTGCGCCTTCCTACCATTATTCTCACTACGCTCCATTATAGTCACTCTACTCGACGCGGACAGAAAGCCAAAAGGCATTAAGTTCGCCGTTTATAACCAGTTACTTATGGTGACAACAATAAAGCATAAAGAAATAAAGGCAAGAACTGTGCTAGCTCAGCTGTAAATTAAATTTTAAGTTGCAATTTAAAGTGCTGATTTACCACGTGCTTAGCGATAAAGGAAAACATTGTGAGAAACCTGCATGTCTGAGAAATACGAAAAAAATATTTCAAACACATGTGAAGTACGCTAACACGCATTGGGAGAGCTGGGTTGACATTTCCCTGCCCTAAACCCTCTCAGAAACGAGAGGGGGCTGATACCTGGCAGTGAGACGTATATAGGCTGTAACTTTAACTTAAATAAAGGCAACTCTAGCAAGTCTAGTAACCAGTAAGCTTCCACGATGTTTTCCTTCTTTACGGGGTTAGAGTCCCGCTGCAGCCATATTATGGTTGTAGCACGAACGAGTCGGCTCGACTGGGGAAGACTACGCTCTCACAGAATACCAGCGTAAATAGCAGCTTTCTGCCGCTGTGTTTCGTATGGTGAGTATAGAGAACCGGAGATCATTTTTACTGGAAACGAGGCATTCCATCTCAGGTGTGACAACGCATCTGTATTTTGATTCTTAATCGGAGATAAATGTAGATGTATATGAGCCACAGCATCCAGTCAGGTGGATTGTGTGCTTGTTTGTTACTCTGTGGCAACTGGCAACCCCAGTGATAAGTTATAAATTAATAGCTCCCAACTATTTAAAAAATTAAATATTGTAAATTGATAATATCCACCTCAATTTCTAGTTACAGTTGTTAAATAGGACTTAATTGTGTTTGTAAAATAAAAGTCAAAGTATTTTAATTAAATAGTGTTTTGTGTTTCAACTAAAAGTGACAGCTGTAACGAACATCGTTTGAATTTTTTGTAAGTTAGTGTAATAATCCCTTTAATATTTTAAGATTTACCTTTGAAATTAGTGTTGTTTCGGATTTCAATTTGAATTATTTACCTGATAATTTAATTTGAGATCTGTAAGTAGACCCATAGATCTAGATATTAGCTTACTCTGTTTCTTCGGTTTTCTTTCTTTGTTTTCTTTTGCTATTTACACATAATAGTAAAAGTAAAAGTAGTTAACTTGTGAATACACGCAACGTTAAAACGCGCCAAATGGAGAACCAACTTCAAATGGCGCTTCTGGAACTTAAGGCGTCAAAAGAGCAGTGTGAGCTGTTGCTTAAAGAAAGGGATGACAGCGAAAAGGAAATAATAAATATAATTGCCAAAAATACTCAACTAAAAAGTGATAGGTATGGTAAGACATTACAAATGTTTTAAAGAAAGGGATCAGCTTCAGGGAACAGTCGATGAGTTTGACCGATGCAGCAAGGAATATGAGGAATCCCTCACATTACAATTAATCTGAAGGATTTCTCATATCCTCACTTAACTGTAACTACAATGAAGCAATCTGCATTACAGTTACAGTTAAGTGAGGTTAATGAGCAGATTGTGCAATTAAAACAAAACTTAGATGAATTGAAAGTGTCCCAAACTTAAAGCCTGTTCAATGAGCTCATAGAATGTAAGTCTTCAAAAACATTACAACCCTCCACAACAATCGATTTGACTCGTGATGATTTTATCACATCAAGAACAGCAGAAAGGAATACATGCAGTAAAAGAAAATTAAAGAAATACATAAAAATTAATAAATATGTTAGGAAAGTGCAAAAGATAATTAAAACGAAAAGCATGAATTAATTAATAAAATTAAATTCAATTCAATTGAGGGGGATTTTTTCCACCTTAATTGAATATTGTTTATAATTTATAATTATGAAATAAGTATTGTTTATAATGTACATTGAATAAAAAAATTTATGTTTCTGTTTGTCACCACATTCTATAAAAGAAATAATTGAATTTAAAAATAATTCAATTTGCGTTAGATACACATTCTATTTCATTTTTCAGCTCTATTATTGTTATAGCTTATTAAAAAATCCACTGTTGAACATCGACACCCCTCACAAAATGTCTAGATGGAGGGATGCATTTTTTTTAAAAACTGAACCCTCGTTTTAAAAAAAAGACAGCACTGGAACAATTATTTGTAGGCCATATAATAAACACTAAATAATTCTGCAGTCTGCGAACATGTTCAAGATCGTCCCCACCATTACATTAGATTTGATAAACCACAAATTCTCGCAAAAGAACACCGATTCCTACCAAGGATGATACGCGAGGCTATTGAAATTAAAAAACATCCAAATTTCAATAGAGAAGATGGTTGGGTGCTACCATCTGCTTGGGATCCTATAATCAACAAAATTAAACCCAAACCCAAGCATACCACTGCAAGACTTCATGATACTATAAGCTCGTTTTGCGTAAATCGGACCAAAAAAATTAATATTAAAAAACTGAAGGTAGCCGGACTAACTATGACATTGGGACGTCAAACATCTCAGTCCCCCCCCGTGACCATGGGCGCTGTAAAGCACCCGAAACGTCGGGATAATAATAAAAATAAATTAAAGATATTAAACGCGATAAAATCCGTAAATAATAGTTTTATTCAATGTGTAGTGTTCGCGTAAATTTAAGAAATCATTACACTAAATAATTTTTTTAAATTATATTTATCAAAATCAAATCCTTCTTTTATTATCAACATACGGTACGAATTCACCAGTCCTATAATATAGCACAGTTTCGTCACTTGGATTTTCCGTCCTCGCTTCCGGGAGTGGTGAGTTTTCAGAGAGCGTAAGTCTTCTTTTCACTTCTCTCTTCCGGATGCCCCTGATCATCAAATGCAATGTCCTACAGCAATAAATATTTATAAACATAATAAAGATGCCTCTCATCCAACAGACAGCCGCTATAACAGGTATCCAGCCGCCGAAGTCGTCGTAATTCTTCAACTTCATTTCCACACTCCATCCGCTGTACCTCAGAATCATGCCCTTGGTCAAACTCTTCTTGATATGAGCAGCATAAACGATGGCCATGGACAGGTCAAATATGACGACCGAAATCGAAACGTAGAAAAATATTGACAGGCAGAACCTGACGAAGCGTATGGTTGATTTAGTACCAACAAATATCCTCAGGATTATAGCTGACAATATCCAGATATGGTGTACTGCAATGCTAAGTTCTATGTACCTGATGAACAATAACACAAAAATGTTACATAAAGCACAAATTATTACTTTTTAGGAAACGTTAACTTTACTCTTGGATTTTCTCCTGTATCGTGGGGGCAGTTTATATACATAAATTTCGTAAGGACCCGGAACAATTACGTGTAGGCCATACAAATACTTGTTCCGTGCGGAATTATTAGAACCCGTGGCCTTTAGTGTAACATATCGTAAAACCTCTGCACCACGGGACCGTCAATTGACTTTTATGAAATACAGTATAGTGTAGGGGCTGTGTAAGAATATCCACTACACCGTATCATCCTGTAGGTGTCGTTAGAGGCGACAGAGCGAAGCAAATCAGAAGATATGCTGGTGCAGCATTTCTATTTTTCTTCCTAATAACAATAAAAAATTAAAAAATCTGCGGTAGCCAACCCACTGACAAGTCTGCCAACTATGGCAAATATCCCCCCTATGATGAAGCGATCTATAGAGGAGGCCTATGTTAAGCAGTGGACTTTAATAGGCTGTAATGGACGGATGTATAGAAGATAATCTACCAGGAGCACATGACCCACTAAGAGGTGAAATCATTAAATCAACAGTAACATTACAACTACGGCAAATATCTCCCTTTTGAAGCAATCTTTGGAGGAGGCCATGTTCAGCGGTGGACTTTAATAGGCTGAAATGGATGGATGTATAGAAGATAATCTACCAGGAGCACATGACCCACTAAGAGGTGAAATCATTAAATCAACAGTAACATTACAACTATGGTAAATATCTCCCATATGAGCCAAACTAAGGGGGAGGCCTATGTTCAGCAGTAGACTTTAGACTTTATTAACTTAAAGACGTAATATGCCCCCCTTGTGCCCGGATTCTAATAATCATAATCTTTCGCATACAAACACAATTTAAATACTCTTACTGCTCACATTGAAAAAATAGTTTCTGTTGTTGACATACATATAATTGGCTTTTAGGTGATTGAAACCTTTATATTAAGTCCCCGGATCTGTAAACTCACCATACGAAAACACAGCGGTATTAAGCTGCTATTTTACGCTGGTATTCTATGAGAGCGTGGTCTTTCCCCGGTCGAGCCGACCCATTCGTGCTACAACCATAATATAGCAGCAGCGTGGCTCTACCGCGTATAAATAACAGTTCTATCGGCCAATAGCAGCGCTTGGGATACTGTGTTCCGTGAGAACCGTTCGGGATAGAGATAGACTGTGAGGCACTCCATCTCAGTTCTCAGGTGACAACAACGCGTCTGTGGCTTGCTTTGTTTGAGATTGGCTGCAGATTATTAGCGGAATAAAAAAAACAATAAATAATTTATTAATTTTTAGGCATTCAAATTTCAATTTGAAAATATCACATTGTTATATTTTTAACAATAAAAAATCTGTTCCTGTAAAATTAGATTTGTTTTATTTAATTAATTAAAAAATCGCTTATTTTTCTACTACTTACGACTTTTTTAAATTTACGTTTAACGCCTAAACTTAAAACCTCCCTAACTCGGTTAATTTTGACCGGGGGGGAGAGGCATCGTACAACCTTATTTATGTAAAATTTTAAGCTCCACGAATTTTTTTTAGAACCTTTTTGTCTAATTTTTACCGTTTTCGAGTAATAACGAAAAAACACTTTTGATAAATGATATTCGTGTCTACAACCCTCGCCGAGGGTTGTAGATACGAATATCTTTTGATTTCAGACTTTATTTAACTGGACTAAATGGAGCAGCGTGGCGTACACTTTCTTGCCCTAAAACCTAACTACCAAAATAGACCATACCTAAATAGACCATGAACTGCAGTGGTTACTTACCACCAATGTGACCGTTATTCCCTTTATAGGAAGAACGTTGAAGCCATGGGTGTCATTATTGAGTTTCAAATTGTAAAAGTTCATTAGTCACATTAAAAAGAAACTTATACAAAATGAAACCGATACCAGTTTCTCGACTCCATAGTCAGTAATTCATTCGTGGTGCAATATATACGCTATTAAAAAAAAATCCAGAAAATATACTATATCTCTCTATTACCACATAATAAATAATACTACGTACTCATACTATTACAAAGTTTAAATATTTTATTGAACAAAAAACGTATAAAAAATGTGTAATTTCTATAAAATATGTGTTTGTGAGTATATGGTACTGCATAGATTTGGATAATCGAAATTATAAGCAAAATTTTCCAAAACAAAAAGATTAAAAGATATATAGCTCTACACCTCTATAATTAAAATAAAAATAAGTGTCAGGATATCATCAATATTATCTTGATTTAAAATATCGTGCTACGTAACAATCAATAAAAAAAATATGAGGAGGCCACTTAGACTACAGTGAGGTCCATCTACATCAATTTTATAACAGGATAGGATGGTGAAATAAAAAATTACCTCCTCGTTTTCGCAGAAAATCTGGTAGAAACGGTAACAATAGCTGGCTGCCACTTTATAGGAAGAACGTTGAAGCCATGGGTGTCATTACTGAATTTCAAATTGGAGATCGCAAGGGATGAACTCAGCTCGTAGCCGCAAGCATCAGAATCATATAAATACATGATACGGGCGAGCTTGTCGTAGTCGTCTGTCGAATTCTCGGGAGACCAAACACAAAGGTGGATTGTTGCTGATCCGACAAACACCAATATGCCTGTATAACGCATTACATTGTACGTTTATTTCAACTACAAGTACAATAAATTGAGGTAAAGGCATCGTGTCATGGTTTTTATGAGTATTGGTGAAAAAAGCATACAGTCCAGTTTATAAATGCTGTGGCCGTAGACATCTATCTTCGAATGGGAATCAAATGCAGGTGCATTGTCACCCTTAAGAATAGGTTTTCCAGATCGTTTGACCAAAATATCTGCACAAATTTTGAAAAAGGTCGGGATTTTGGGTTGTTGTCTGGAGAAATGAATATTAAAAATATAAAATTAATTTTTTAAAGTACAAGTAGACTGCAAAAAGTACTTTAAATAAAACTAATTTAAGTACACTTCATATTCAGATTGCCATGAAAATCAGCTCCGATAAAGTTGAAACATACCCATACCAATGTGGGTAACCACTGCCTCTGCACTGCTGAATTCCTGCTTGTGTTTCGATCTGAAGGGTTTTAGACATGGTAGAGCCACGCTGTAGCTACATATATATGGTTGTAGTACGAACGTATTGTCTTTCATACGGTGAGTGTAGAGTATCGGAGACCCATTTTCACTGAAAACGTGACACTCCACCTTAGAACTCAGGGGTGGCATCACATCTATGTTTTGATTCTTAATTGAGGATAAATTTAGATGTCTATAGTTCACAGCATCCACTTACCATCAGGTAGACTGTGTGCTCGTTTGTCAACTCTGAAGATAAAAGAGACTTGGTATTATAGGCTGTGAGGCATACCAACTTAGTTCTCAGAGGTTACAACTTACTTGTAGTCTTCCTTGTTTAAAGTCAGCTGAAGTTGTCCATGGGTTCCTGTAGCCACTTACCATCAGGTGGACTGTAAGTTCATGTGTCTCTTCAAATTTTGGTGTGAAAGGTGTAAAGAACCAGTAAAGTTACAGGGCTGTGAGTTATTTCATTACTCGGAGATGACGACGTATCCGCAGTCTGCTTATTTGAAATCGGTTGCAAGAGTCCAGGTAGACTGTTTATGGGCTAATTTATAGACTTACAAACTTTTATGTACGAGTAAGGAATAAAAATGAGCGCAACGTCTACCTGATGACAACTGAATGCTATGGTCCAATGAAACCTACATTTACCCTCGCCACAAGAAACACATCAGCATGATGCATTCTTAAATGCAAGAAAGAAAACTAAATTAGGAAAAGTAAAGTGAAAGTAGTCAGAGTAGTGAAATTTCGATATCACATTTACAAGGGGTGTTTACGAACAATTGCTGTTTTATTTCGCCAGTGTCCACCCTATAAGTTAGGGAAATAATAAGATATACAGTCCACTAAGTACATGACTGACATCTGGACCGGGATCATTCCTTGGGGCACGTAATATTAGTCGTCAACTAACACTTTCCTTTGAGAGAGCCGTGAGGGTTCTAAGTCTGACATCTTATCAGGGGTCACGTCCACCGCGTTGATACCCGAACCCAACAAGGTGAGGTATAGGAAAGAGGCCAGTAACTGGTTTATTGATTTATTAAGGGCGTGGGATATAGAACATGATCACCCTTTTCAATTAATATTTCTCGTTCATATTTCTCGTAACTTTACAAGAGTGGTCTTTCTCAGTTTAGTCGACACACTCGTGCTGTAACTCGTGCTTACTTACATTGTACAATAACAAAATATGCGATTCTGGAACATTTCTCTTTCTCCTGTGGCAGCAGTATAACTGGTTGTTTTATCAATACTAAACTGTGTCTCAACATGTATATTACTGGCACTTGATCTACTTATAAAACGTTTATTTTAAATGGTTGCCCAACTTGATATAACTTTACTCTTTAACTAACAGAAGCAATTAATTACTGCGTATATTAAACTGATTCTGATTTGACTATTATAATCTCATAATAATTCCATAACCATAATCTCAGATATCTTAATAGCGAACTATCATTTATTAATGAAGAGTCAATATTTTTTGATATTTTTTTTCTATTTAATTATAAAACAGCCAGTACACGTCGACATAAAAAAGGATTTTGTTTAACATTACTGCTTGCTGCAGAGCCCAGTAAATTAAATTCGTTCAACGTTTTCAACTAAAGTTCAAAAATGTGACACCTTTTAATAACTCGACGAAATGTTCCACATTTTTATGCGTATAGAGAATTTACAATAACTACCATCACTATTACAAAAGTATCAGTACAGAGCGTAGTCATGTACTAGATTATAACAAGACAAAATTTAAAAAAAAAACATAAATTTAATAAGGACAATGACTCTGAGAAATAAACTATTTTGACCACGTGTGAAGAACACAAAATACTAAATGAAGCAGCACGGCTATCTAACTACTCCACGACTCTCAGAAATAGAATATATTTGAGTAGCAGTGGCAGAAAAATATATAGGTTTTCATTCCCTTTCAAAAGCTGTGTAAAATAAAACTGTTATTATTATACTCAAGTTTTTTTACGACTTAGCAAAAACACACTATATTGTAAAAAATTCTTTTTACTAATCGCTTTACTAGTTTTTAAACGTTACTCATGACGCGTGTGACCTCCATATACATTGTAGTAAATTGGTATATTATAAAGACCAGATAACAAGAATGTACCGAGTACCACAAGGGATCCATTGTTTCGGAAGTTGAAAAATAAGGGAGATAAATAATTTGTTACATTACTGAGTGGTTTTGTTGTTTTTCTATGTATCTAAGTAAAATTCCATCGCATTAAAATGAAATAAAGCATAGCTGTATGCAATAATGTTTTTAATGTGACAAAGTTCTGGTGGTGGCTAAGGAAATCTTTCCTTTGAAAAAGTCATGGAAACGTGAATTCCCCCTACTACGAGCCAGGGCTTAGTAGTGGACTCTTTCGGCCTGATAATAATGATGATGATGATTAGGTTAAAAGGTAACAAAAACACAGTAAACACAGTGGTGTTGGCTTGCACAAGACATCTTGCACTTTTAACAGTGCTTACTTGTATTTAAATAAAAATGTCCTACTGAATCGAATTTTGGTCAGGGCTGTATGTCTTAACAGAAACCAGCCATCTATGCAGGACAGGATTATGGGGCCAGAGTGTAAGAAAAAGCACAGGGCACTCTCCATTCCCTCACTTTTTAGTCCCATTTTGCGTGATTCGTTTTAAAGTGTTTACACAGAAGAGCTACGATGGCGATCCGAGTAAAATATTAGAAAATGAATAGAACGTATCTAACTGCAGGAAGTTGTAAGACAGGGTGACGTTGTATCCCACAAATTCATTACCGCTGCATTGAAAGACGTTTTCAAGCTACTGAGCTGTAAAGGGTACTAACATAAATGGCAAGAACATCACTTTTCTTCGGTTTGCTGACTTATAGTCCTTATGGCAGAATCTATGGAAGGCCTAAGCACTATCCTTAATGACCTCAATAATGTTTTCCAACGGATTGGCCTTAAAATGAACATGGACAAAACAAAGGAATTTGTAACATCCACGTCACGCCTACGCTGTTAGTTGTTGGGAACACTACGCTCAAAGTTGTCGACGAGTATATTTACCTAGGAAAAATAGTCCGACTATATTGGGCCAAACGTGGTAGAACCACGCTATAGCTGCATTATGGTGATAGTACGAGTAGGTAGTTTAATGCTGCTGTGTTTTGTATGGTGAGTGTAGAGAACCGTAGATCCTTTTTACCGAAAACGAGGAATTCCATTCAGTCCTCAAGGGTGACAATGCATCTGCATTTTGATTCAGATGTCTATGGGCCACATCATCCACTTGCTAGCAAGTTAACTGTGTGCTCGTTAGTCACCCTTATTCTATACAAAAAAAGGACGTTCACCTACCCCATATCAGTGAAAAAGATATCTAGGTGTCTACTCTCACCATAAGAAACACCGAGGCATTAAACTGCTATTTTATGCCGCTATTCTGTGAAAGCGTGGCCCTTCCCCGGTCAAACCGACCCATCTGTGCTACAACCACAATATATCTGCAGTTTGGTTATACTATGTAGAGTGATACTTTATCTAACCTAGGAAATCTAATCTAGGACAACCTGTATGCTAACATCTGTATGGTATTTGTAGGTTACGCAGCAAGTCGAAAAATGCAAGTGGTCAGGATCGTGTTTTGTGGCGCGATAAAGCTAAATAAACCAGAAGATGGGCACCACATGCATCTAAAACGTTTTAAACGCCTCGCTACCTCGCTAGTATAGTTTCATGTATTAGACGTGACAATACCTTTTTATAGCATCAATCCGCTAAGACAGCACTAATGCGCATAAGCTTCGACGCTTCTTGGGCGTCAAAGCATATAGCGTAACAGAATGTTTCACTGATTTTTTTTTCCTTTTTAGATTATGACTGTACAATTATAAAAATCAAAATTATACTTGGATCTATGTTGTAGTTGTTTTTTTTTTTTTGTTTTAAGTTTAGTAGATTACTTTAGTGGATTAGTTTATAATTCCGTATTGTTTGCATATGGTAAAATATAGTTGAACTCACTACCTATATTACCATGTAATGTACCCATATTTACAAAACAAAATATCTTCTATCTATTTGCTATCTTCTACCAGCGTCTTCCTATTAAAAGTAAATACAAATTACAAAACTGCGGCAGCGAACGCACCTGCCAAGCGTGACAACTATAGCAAATATTCCCCGTATGGTGATGGCCTATGTGCAACAGTGAAATTTTGATAGTCTGTAAAGGTAACGGTAACGAACAAAAAAGATAAAGTTTGCCTGTAAATGAACGCAATATATTTCTGCCTATATTTCTCATCACATTTCCCAAGTATTTAGGATAGAAACGAATCTACTGCGCTATCTCCACGCGAGTTTGCTGACTTCACATGTTTTCAGATACGGAGAATATAAAAAGATAAAACAATTTTAATTACAAATGCAAGGAAGTAAAGCTGTGCATTGCTGGAAATGTTTAATTTTTCCTCGGAATACGATATGGCGTTTTACTTATCGTGCCTATAAATAATGAAACACATTGAAAATAGTACAGGGTGTGATATAAATGATACAATATGAATATACATGTGTGAATAAATTACAGGATGTGATAAATCTTGCAAATAACTAACTAAATATGATTTACAAAATAAAATATTTATTAAATTAATATTGCTTATTCAGTATAGATTGTTACAAAATAATTATTGGAAGTATTTTTTATCTCTGATTCAAAAAATAGCTCTAACCTAGAACTCTCGTCTAAAAAATCAGCAAGAAACCTAGCGGGATTATTTTCTACACATAATATTTTAAAATATTATTATACAATAAAAATTTCATTGGAAATAGTATGGTAGTGATCATTCCCATGAGTTATTTTTGAATTTCATTGTATTATAAAATATTTTTAAGCGTTTTTTTTCTGACCCGAACCGAAGATGTAGAATAGTTCTTACTTTTTCTAAAGAAAAGGAGATTTATTTTTACATGGAGAGTAATACTTAAGGAATTGCAGGTGCGTTCCCGCTCCTTCAGAGAGAATTTAGCCCTTATCCTGTTTATAGGTCCTTTAGTCATAACATCATATTTTCATCATTATTATGCTAACTAGCTATTACCCGCGGCTTCGCCCGCATGGTCACTGGGAAATGAACTATCCATTGCTTTTTGAATTGAAAGAAAACTGAGTTTTATAGATTTGTCAGAGATGCAGCCATTAAAAGGAAACTGAGCAAAATTGATTCGTCAGCCTATTTAAAGGTTTTGAAACGCAGCGTATAGGAAAGCATGAAAATAGCCTGTTAATTCCAAATGGAAATGGGATATTTTTTAATTAAAGGAAACTGAGCATACTTATACGTCAGGGATGCAAACTTTTGAAAAGAAATTGAGCTAAATTGATTCGTCAGAGATGCAGTTTTCTGAATTGAAAGAAAACTGAGCCAAATAAAAGACCCGTCAGAGATGCAGCCTTTTGAGTTGAAAGGAAACTGAGCTTAATAGATCCGTCAGAGGTGCAGCATTTGGAGTTGAAAAGAAACTGAGCTAAATAGGAAATTTTGAATTGAAAGGGAAGATCTGTGGGAATTCTGATTAATTGATTGTGGGAATTTTGGAAAAAAAACTAACTGAACATTATTTATTTTAAGACGCTACTGTATACAATGTTATATGTTTTTCCATTCGGGGAAAGAATGTGGAGATTCTGGGCATTTGACACACGCAAACATGCTACATACAGGTGACCATGAGAGAAGCAGTTTTTCTAAGTTGACCCCCGCTACCTGTAACGTTTGCCCTTGCGCTTTTTTAATTGTCATTGCAAAACTGCGCTTAATAGGGAACTGCAACCTTTTGAATGGAAAAGGAAGATCTGTGGGAATTATAGGGATCCGTGGTATAATAACATTTTCACCTTTTCCTATGCCTGTCAAAATTGTAGCACCGATTATGTTCCGCCCAAGATGTGTCACACGCAGCCATGTCCAGTTACATAACCAAGGAGCATCTAAATTTCGCATTAGCATGACTGGGACGCCTAATTTTAATTGAAGCTTATGTGAGGGCACACCTGAAAACTATAGAGAATTTAGAAACTCTACGGGATATGAAGTACTCTGTTCTGTGTCCATAACCGTATCTACTGACAAATTTTCTGTTATTTCTCCTGCTCCTACTTCGCAGTTAATATATCTGAATGTTGCATTAACGCTCTCATTTTCGGTGCAAGAATCGCCCTTTCACATACACCATTTGTCTTCGTACATGCCCTTGTTCGTTAAACTCTGAATAAACGCTCGCAATTAATTCGGAATGACTCTGTAGCCTAAATTACAAAAATGTAAAAACTCTCGGTCTTCTCGTATTCTGACCTTCTGTGTTCGTCCGTCGTAACGTCGTCCGTCTTGTAGAATCACGGTGGCGCCACCTAGCTGAATTTAATTTTGCAACATATTCGATTTTCCCACGAGAATTAGATGTTTTTCCGAGGAAAAAATAGCTTATGTCACCCTACAGACACCGAACTATCCCCATACCAAAAATCATGCCATGCCGAAGCTCTGTTGCGACGTGAAAGAAGGACAAAAAAAACAAACAAACGAACAAATAAACAAACACGCTTTTGCATTTATAATATTAAGTATCATCATCATCATCATCATTAGAGCCCTTCACAAGTCCACTGCTGAACATAGGGCTCCTCCAAGGTATGCCACAAAGCACGGTCCTGAGCCACCTGCATCCATCGACTTTATTAAGTATGTATAATTTAAATGTTTTATATTCGGAACACATAAAAATTAAAAATTAGTAAAGTATAAATATTACAACATAACAATTTCATTTGCCGTTAACATTTTGTAACAATTTATATCTCATCAATTTAAATTTATTGTTATAAGTTGATTCTTTTTTTTTTTTTTGCAATTACTACACCAAATATGGTTACTATACTAATGGTCAACTACATCGTGAGTATGCGGTATTTGTGTTTGATTTTTTTTTCAATTGATATACCACCATAATATATCAATATTAGTTGTTCTTTTTTTATTAAAAATTTACACACCCTGTATTAGCCGGTTATTCCCCTACATGGTTAGATAACAAATTTCTATTTAAGCGGCGATCCGGCTTCACGTTTCCGTAGTCTTAGCATTTTGCACCATGATGTTTGATCAACTGTTCATCTGTTTCCTCGGTAAGCTATTGCAAAATTGACATCACATAATTGAATATTTACATAACATAAATTACTTTTAATATATTTCATTACCTATATCTTCTTCTTTATAACCATCAGCCTGTAAAATTATACATGAGCCTACCCCGTGGTAATAATAATCTTGGATTGAGCATCATGACCATGGGTAATTTACGCTTGGCGTAAACGAAATGGTTTACCGTCACACTGCACGCCAGCACGAATGGGTCACGCTCTCACAGAATATTAGCGTAAAATAGCAGCCTATTCTTGCTCTGTTTCATATGGTGAGTGTAGAGAACCGGAGACCCGTTTTACTGGAATCGAGGCATTTCATCTTAGTTCTCAGGGGTGACAACGCACTTTGATTCTTAATCGAGGTTGAACGTAGATGTCTAAGGGCCACACATCCACTTACCATCAGGTGGACCGTGAGCTCGTTTGCCACCTTTGTTCTATAAAAAAAATCACATAATTACCTCTTCGATACCCTCGCGATAAAATACGAGATGAAAAAACAGAATAGAAGTAGAACGATTCAAAATCACACTCCTGACATTTTTTATCATAAATATTAATTATTTACAGGTATTACTGTTGTGAGTGGTTCACATCATGTTAATTTCTTTCGCCGTGACTACACGTTTTTAGAAAAATACAATGCATTTTATAAATTACACCGGGCTGATAACTCGGGCACGTGGAACGAAGCATTTTTAGCCTGCGACGATGAAGGAGCTAGCTTTTTTTATCCCAAAGATGTTAATGAATGGAAAATTGCGAGAAACTTATCCGATTCACCCGACGTAGAAGAAATCTTTGTCGGTGTCCATGATGAATTAGGACGCGGAGATTTGCTATCTTTTGACGGTAAATATAATAGTATGATTTTCGATATTGACATGGAATATAATAAAGTACAGCCTGATAATGTTTCAAATAAAGTAACATTTTGTCCTCCGAATGTAATGTCGTCCTGGAAACAATGCAAGCAGTGAAATTTTGTGTGTGTGGATAAGAGAGTGCTTTAACGTCGGAAAGTTAAAGTGCAAATTAATAAATTACGCGCATGTTATTGTATAAATAGATGATTATTTAAAATACTAACAATGATATTAACCACACCAATACGCAACCCCTGCCACAGTATTTATGACATTATGCAAAAGACGGACTCGAACTCACAACCAAGAAATCAAGAAAGGAAATCACAAATTTTGAATTCTCAATTTTAAAGCTGTATCTGTAGCATAATGCATTAGAACTATTCCTAACAGTGAAAATAAATGTGGGGAACGACAGAAATTTAAAAATATAAGAAAATGATAACTATATACTAATGACTATTTGTGGTTAACTTGGCATTAGTAATGTTTAGAGAGACATTTTTTTTAAAATACTGATAACTCAGTATTTTTTCAAATAATGTCTCTCTGGTTGCATTTATACCTACGAATAACTTTGATGACATTGATTTGTGCATTATAATATTTTTTTAATTTTTCTCAGGACATTTCCTTCCAGAATTTTCTGTATTACACATTAGTAAGCAAAATAACTACGAACCCAAATGCGTAATCATGTCGGTTCACACGGGCAATTACAGCATCGATTCGTGTAAAATCAGAAGACCGTTTATTTGCAAGAAAAAAGCCAATGAATCATGTCCCACTGTTGATTCAGGTTAGTAAAAATAATATATATATATTTATTTATTTTAATTAATTTATTTATTTATATATTCTTATATCAGTTTGAAGTCTGTTCGGGAAAAAATTATAAAAATATAATATAAACGGGCGGTTGGATGGGAAAGCTAATGCGGAGGCTTTTCTATTATCTATCAGCAAAAATTATAATTTGTAACAGGTTTAGGAACCCTGCTTTTTTATCAACTCTCATTGAACAGACTGTAGGCTTATTAAAAGTAATTATTTAAGAAAAAGAAACAGTGAGAAAGTCTGTGGCCATTGTTTTTATTTAGACAATGATAATTCAATTTTATGTAAAATAATTATTTAGGTACCCGCGCGTTCCATCTGCGCAAGGTAGCTGGCAGTATTTGGATGAGTGTAGGCAAAATTCGGGAGTGCCTTGAGAGAATATCTAGTACTGGACTACGCAACCTGAGAATGATGATGACATTATTTTTTAAGTAATAGAAATATTTATTTAATTAATCAGTTATTAAGTTGTCTGTCAAGAAATTCTCAGTAGTTGCCCGGAATCAGAAAGTTGGCTACGTTTCAACCCTGTGCTGAAAGCACGTGACGCCACTGATCCTACGCCTGATCTCTTTTCTCCGGTTGTGTTGGCTTACCGTCTCATCGGATTATGAAAGTGAGGGAATAGAGAGTGAACCTATACATGTGCACACACTTGAGTATTATAATCCCGTCCTGTGCTGATGTCTCTATCTGCACCTAGTCTCCTTTGAGGCTGGCCGCCGTGACCGAAATTCGATCTAGAGAACATTATATATATATATATATATATATATATATATATATATATATTTAAAGGTGCAAAACTGAGAATCAAAAACGTTATATTTATTTAAAAACTTATTGAAATGCCATATTTTGGAAAATTAACCAAATAAATACAAGCTAAAATATTTCTAACTTAGTGTGAACGCAACCTTATTTCTGTTTCGGTTGCATTTTGTTCCGTCATTACAAATTATGCGCGATGTTCAAACCTATGTTTACTGTTCTTTTAATTGTTTACGTTTTACCCACGTCTATAGTTAATATTCTGTATGCTAGTAATGGATTCCTTTATTATTGTTTGTAAATTTTTTATTTATCGTAAGCGATTTGTAATCTTTTGAGAAATAAATAATATCTTAAACCTAATATACATATATATATATATATATATATATATATATATATATATATATATATATATATATATATATATATATATATATATATATATATATGTTCTCTAGATCGAATTTCTTTTTTTTATTTATATTTATTTTTGTTTTCTACCTTCACCTTAATTAAAATGCACAAGGTACAGTTAACTAACGCCCTTTAGATTATCTGCAAAAGAGGAAGTGTTACGAAATATTGTAAAGGGTGCTAAAACGCTAAAATTCTAAAATTTTTTTTAATTAAAGTTTTTTTCAGGGTATATATACTCAAAAACTACAAATAAATGCTACAAAGTACACAACAGGCGGGAAGCAACCTGGGAAGACGCCATGCACACCTGTTACATGGAAGGTGGCATATTGTCAACTGGCATAGACAGCTCGGAATTACATGATATATTAAACATGATTACAGAAGGAAAACAATTCTTCATGGGATTTAGAAGGATAATGCCACAAAACAGTTTTTATTCTGTTCGAGGTAACAATTGTAATATTTGAATACTTCTTTTTCTTGTGGTAGGTGATTTTTTCTACTGTGAATATATCTGTAGTGGAATCAGAGTAATAGACATAGCACAACGAATCGGTACCTAAGTCGTAATTATATATTTAAATTTTCTTGTTTCATGGTATTAAACTTGGTCTGTTTCTCATTTTAAATTTAATTATATTTTTTGTATAAAAATGTAACTCTATAGAAACTATGACCTAATTTATTAAAAAATAATTGTTCAGAGGGGCCTACACAGGTGGCCTTTGATTATCCTATGTATAGGTCTGGGACTAAACAGATTAAATCTTTTGAAATTTGTATCGATGAGTCCGCACCGGAAATAAAAATAACGACTTTTTCGTGCCGCATTGGGAATCAAACTCAAGTTAATCGTGTTTTTAGAAAATGTTCAGGCCCAGTGTTCATCTCGATGTACCTAACATTATTGAATGAATAATGATCAAAGTTGTTTCAGGTGAAAAAGTTTCTAAAGTTCCAACAAATGAAGAAAACTGCTGTGCAATACAGATGATAAACGAACGGGACAACTACAACAATTATAACCGAAATATTTATTATTTTACACAAGACTGCAATAACACTCTACCATTTATTTGTGAACTCGATGTGAAATTGTAAATTCAATTTTCCTACAATCATTGTAACTTACCCCAGTATCAATTTATTCTTACATAATTATATTAAAGATTGTATTAATTAAAACAAAATTGTTTCATCTTTTCTCTGTGAACTCGCTTGCCGAGCTTGGCAACTATGGCAGAAACTATGAGGATTTTAATAGGTTGTAAGGAATGAATGAATCATTCACCACTGCATATAGTCTCATGGGTGTAGTATGAGGCGACTAATTAATTAACAGAAACAGAAACTTTTTATTTAATATAGATTTATAAGTGATACTTATTGAAAATCACTCTTTTTTTAAATACCACTAGTTCGGAAGAAACCTCTGTACTGGGAAGAACCAACAATAAACTCAGCAGGACTTTTTTTTTAAATTACAGCTGACAATTATCTATGTTACACAAATAATTGATACAAAACAAATCAGAAATAAAAGAAATTCCTTGATAATTTAATAACCCTTTTTATATAAACTTAGTTTAATGAAGTTTCTGAACTTTGAGCAGGTCACATTTTGTAAATTTTACTAAATTAAAACTTACAACTATCTTAACAATAATGATCTCTATTGTTATCTCTATACACAAATATCAAAAATATAATTGCCAATTATAATAACTTACAAACAGCAAGTACTTAGCACCTTGGTGGATTCACTCAAAATAAACATAGCATTTAGACAAATAATTAATAGAATCGGGCGTTACTTTGTGAAAATCCATTATATATTATAAAATTAAAAGATGTGCCTTACCTAGTTTGAAGATCACCTCTGCGGTGGCTGACATGACGGTCAACACTTACCATGTACGAGCCCGATGTACGTTTTTTTAACTAGTAAACAATTTGTTTCTAGTCCATAACTGAAAAACTTCACAATCATGATTTAATTTATAATTGAACACTTAAAAATCCTCTTCTATTCACTATTACTGATATTATAATTGCGAAAGAACTCAGTCTGTCTGACTGTCTGCATCCATTTTTGCTCATGCTGATACAGATTTAATAAGGCGATGAGATAAACTGACTGCATCCTGAGTAAATAGCTTTTACCACGTGAAATTACGTATTTTTCTCGCGAGAAAATTTGATTTAATATGGACGAATCCGCGTGGTAACCACCATTAGAAAGCTAGTAAAATATAAGTACGAGTATATAAACTAGTAATAAAAATGTAGTAAGTAGTATTCGTGGGTTGGGCGTGCACAGACACGACATGGCAGATGGGGAGGGTAGTTAGCCTAGTACTAACTAAATAATTAGTCGGTCATAACTATAAACGATATATATATATATATATATATATATATATATATATATATATATGTGTGTGTGTGTGTGTGTGTGTGTATGTATGTATGTATAAGTTTATTTGTTTACGAAATACAGGCCAATGCGTATAGATGACTTAGTAGTGAATGGCATTTAGCGAGCAGGGCTCTGACAACTGAATATTTTTTATACAATAAAGATGACACACAAGCACACAGTGTACCTGACGGTAAGTGGATGCTGTGGCCCATAGGCATTTACATTTATCCTCGATTCATTATCAAAATGCAGTGCATTATCACCTGTGATGACTAAGATGAAATGTCTCGTTTCCAGTAAAAAGGATCTTCGGTTCTCTACACTTACTATAGGAAACACAGCAGAATCCTTCTATGTTTGCCTGTGGTATAGCTTAATAAAGCTGCTGTTTCATGCTGTTATTTTGTGAGAACTTTGTCCTTCCCCAGTCGACCCATTGGTGCTACAATTGTAATATAGCTGCAGTATGGGTCTACCACGTAAAACGAGATGATGTACCGCTATTTATCGCAAGCTATAAGATTTTTTTCTATTTCCCATACTCGCCTCTACGTCACCTACGGAGAAAATCGGATGATGGAATCTTACGCCCCAACCAAATAGTAGTATTTGCTTACGATGTAATTATAGTTTCAGTGTACCCTAAGGGATACCCGGAACGTTTTGCGCTGTGCTCACTTAACATTTACACCATAGAAGTAAATGTTAAGTGAGCCGGCATAAAAGGTTTCTAGATACGATACCCTGGAGGGGAAGGGGAAGCCGCAGCGATATTTAGCAAAAAGCTTAGTATTGACATAATATTGAATTGAGATAGACTTTTCATATAAGTTGAACTTAAGAATATTTTATTCAGTTTGGGCTTCCTATATCAAGCTTATATGAACGTATAAACCTGCTATAACTTTTTTTTTAAATAATCATTACCCTAATCCTAAGATTTCCTCTTGTACCCTAGAGTTAGGTTACATACATAAATTGTATAAGGAAAAACATTCAGATCCGTAACAATTATTTGTAGGCCATACAAAGGATTTGAGCCTGCGGCACTCAGCACCATAACTCAATGCTGAGTCACTGCGCCACGAAGCCGTCTTGGACTTTGAAGAGGCAAACCACGGACTTCATAACCATTTCATATAAATTTTTTTTTTCATTATAAGCCCGTTCTTGGCAACAACACCACCTGGTGGTAAGAAATCGTAGGGAAAGAAAGAAACTATTTCACTCCTTTGCAGTATGAATAACGAGCGAGTATACAAACTGTTTAATTATAACGTGTAGAATATCAACAACGAAATCGAGTTGGTAAGACTTCCTTTTAACCGACTTCAAAAGGAGGAGGTATGCAATTCAACTGTATGTTTTTTATGTGTGATTTGTGACCGATTTTGATGATTATTTGAAAGCCGCTACTTGTCATGTGGTCCCATATAAATTTGATCAAGATCTGAACAGTAGTTTTTGAGTTGTCCTTAATACTGCATATTTAATTGACTTCGAATACATTGATGATGTTTTCATTTATATTGAAGTCGGTTGTACAAAAATTTTAATTTTACCACTTGTTGGCTTAGAAAACCGTCTGAGTACGTTCCACTCTCTTACCGACTTCTGCTGTCAAATAGCAGAGCTTGTACAGCTGTGTTCTAGTCTGAAGGGTACAGAGACTGTATATTTACAGGCTGTGAGGAATTCCATCTTAGTCCACAGAGGTGACAACGGATACGTGCCTTCTTTGTTTGAAGTTGGCTGCTGGTGTCTATGGACTTCAACGACCACTTACCATCAGTTGGACTATTAATTCGTTTACCACTTCAATTTTATAATAAAAATATAAGACGTAAAACTCCAGAAGGATTGTTTCAATTATCACGCTTAACAGATAGATTGACTGTAGCCGTTCCAGACGTCTCTCATCTTCCAAAATGCTGCCCGTCGATGGATATAAAACACAGAGCATCTTGAAACTTTAAACATGATAGTATACCGCAATATATCAGAAGCAATAATAACGCAAAAAATTGTTGCAACGCTGAAGGTCACGGGTTAGGATCTTGCAGGACAAACTGCAGACTTCCCGGAACATTGTTGCTTCACGTCAGCTTATGTTCTTTTTTCAGCTTCCAGCAGTGCTTTTCAGCACCCGAAACGTCGAAAATTAAAAATCATATAAATTAAACGCGATGAAATCCCTAAAAGTAGTTTTAATCAATGTGTAGTGTTCACCTAAACATAAGAAGTCATAATGATTTCTTATATTTACGCGAACACTACACATTGAAATAATACTAGTTTTTACGGAATTTATCGCGTATATTTAACTTTTTAATTACCCGACGTTTCGAGAGCTTTACAGCACCCATGGTCATGGGAAGGACTGAGATGTTCAACGTCCAGCTGTCATAGTTAACCGCGGTTACCATAGATTAAAATTTAACTTTTGTTCCGATCTACACAGTATGAACTTATGGTATCATGGAGTCTTGCAGTTGTATGCTTGGGTTGGGATTTAATTTTATTTATTATAGGATCCCAAGCAGATGGTAGCACCCAGCCATCTTCTCTATTGAAATTAGGATGTTTTTTGATTTCAATAGCCTCGCGAATCATCCTTGGAAGAAATCGGTGTTCTTTAGCGAGGATTTGTGGTCTATCAAATCTGATGTAGTGACGGGGGCGATCCTGTACATGTTCACAGACTGCAGACTTCCCGGAGCGTCGATTCTTCACATCAGCTATATGTTCTTTGATGCGGGTTTTAATTGATCTTTTAGTTTGTCCTATGTAGGAGAGACCACATTCACAATCAAGCTTGTACACTCCTGCATCTTGCAGAGGGACATTACACTTGACTGATGGTAAAAACTGACCAATCTTCTTCGGCGGCTTGAAGTATGTTTTGATGGAAGCGCGCTTCAAGATGTAGCCAATCTTGTCAGTGACTCCTCTAACATATGGCAGTACAGCAGGTACACGCTCGACTGTGGCCGGCTTCACTCGTTCTCTGTGACGTAGGCGCGGGACCCGAAGCTTGTTGTCATGCAAAACTTGCTTGACATGTTGGAGCTCGGCAGCCAGGTGTTTACTGTCACAGATCCCTCGTGCTCTCTGAAACAAAGATTTACCCACGGTAGCTAACTGTGAAGGATGGTGGTGAGAATCACCGTTTAAACATCTATATGTATGGGTCTTTTTTCTATACACAGTATGGCTCAAGGTGTTATCAGGATTCCGAATTACTAACACATCTAGAAAAGCTAAGGAATTGTTTGCCTCTAACTCCATTGTGAACTGAATTTTAGAATTTATAGAGTTAAGATGGTCTAAAAATGCAGTTACTTTATCTAAAGATGTTACTTTATTTACCTTACATATAACATACTTCAAGCCGCCGAAGAAGATTGGTCAGTTTTTACCATCAGTCAAGTGTAATGTCCCTCTGCAAGATGCAGGAGTGTACAAGCTTGATTGTGAATGTGGTCTCTCCTACATAGGACAAACTAAAAGATCAATTAAAACCCGCGTCAAAGAACATATAGCTGATGTGAAGAATCGACGCTCCGGGAAGTCTGCAGTCTGTGAACATGTACAGGATCGCCCCCGTCACTACATCAGATTTGATAGACCACAAATCCTCGCCAAAGAACACCGATTCCTTCCAAGGATGATTCGCGAG